CATGATCTGATGAACTGTTTACTTTACGTCTTCTCGATAAATATAAATACCGTGATGGTGCTGGAAATGCAAACAAATTTCCTTCCCATTTTCCGTTTTAAACACTCGTCTGCCTCACACCCCAAAGTCCTTGAACTGAGAGATAAGCTTTTGTGCAAAGTTTCGAGAACTCTGCGAGGGTGTTTTTGTGGGAGAGCTCTTATTGTGCGAAATGGATGATTGAAGTGATGATATCTAAAAGGTGGGGATGATGGTTGGTGGGGGTGAAAGTGAGACAAAGTATGTAGAAATTGATACGAGATGAGAAGAACGGACAAAAAATAAGTGTTTTTGAATCCACACTGCTTGCCTTCTTTAGTGGAAATTTTATTAAAATTATTGAATACGAAATGTGGTCACAGATGCAAAAATATGGTCGACCTGCGACGGACATTTAAGGCAACTTTTCCAATTTTTTTGAAAAGTTTCATCACACGGTGAAAAAATATCCATTTATAAGTAAACTGTCACCATTAATGCACATCCCTAAATCCAGCAAACTTTCCGAGAGTTCAACCCTCCGTTGAGAAAAAGTAGCTCCCCGCTTTCTTTCTTTGGATGTGTCGCCACTATTTTTCTACATTAGCGAAGGCGGAGGGTGTGACTGGATGCATTTAATAATATTTTTGATGTCAGAGTGCAGCAAGTGCGGGTAGAAATAAGAAATAATGCCACTGCACATCCAGTTTAAAACTTTTCCTATTAAGATGCCACAAGTTACAAAGTTTCCTGGAAAAAGCGACGTATGAAACTACAATCATCACGCAGGGTCAACCCATGAGTATTGATTGCTTAAAAAAACGCATCCGTATTCCGGGTTGCATGCACATTTACTTAAAAAAAAGGTAGGAATTTGGTCTTCATGTCACATGCTGAATTTTATTGTGACTTTGTATGTATGTGATAGCGTAAGATCACGTAGGCATGATTTCATTTGACTTTCTCTCTCTCTCGGCCAAGTTTACATATATTTTGTAAAGTAGGAAACTTGCCACTGCACATTTTCGACGTTAGATTAGACCTGGTCGAAAATGAAACAAGGGAGCGAGTGGAAGATAAGGGGGGCCACACACACGTATTTAAATTCTTGAGTTCTTAGCATGTATTAAGAAGTTTAGGAGAAAGTTGGTTGGTGATGGGGAAACAGAGTCAGAATGGAGAATGAAAATGAGGAAAGAGAAGAAATGCAGCAGGAAGTGCAGCAGTGAAGCTGTTTTCCTTAGTTCAGGTTAGTTGGTTGGTTGGAGGGTGAGTTGGTCGTGGAGATGGAAAGTGGTCATAAAGAGAGAGCAGACCGAAATGGGAGAGATTGGATGCCTCAACTTTCACCCGAATGCCACCATCAGCCAGAAGGGCAGTGCAGTTGCAGCGAATGCAGCCGGCAAGGTCGTCCATGTTATGGCTGGCCTTGAGCCTTTGGGAGAAGTCGAGGCACGGGATGGACGGAAATGTGCATTAATGTTTCTCGTAATAATGGCGAATGCGTTTTGCAGACAAAGGGAAATGTGCTTTACGGAACGTTGGAATTGTAGGATACAAAAGTACAAAGTTCTTAATATGTTGATTACATTTTGTATAAAATTACAGGATTTCCAAGAAATTTATAATCCAAATTATGTAAAGTATTTTAAACTCTTTAGCTATCTCAGTTGCATTATATTTTATTCGAAATTTTAGTCAACCCGTCATTACTTTACTCACACAATATCCAATTCCCCACTACTATATTCCAAATCGGTTTAGAATGCATCCTTACATTCGTACATGCACCCAGAAAATATAGTCAAACTAGAATCTTGACGAAGGGAAAGAGAAACTCGAATCATTTCCGTTATAGCAGAGAAATTCAGCGAATGATGGAAAATTACATAATTTGATGGCTTTTCTATTGGATTATATGCATTACACACTGAATAAGTTAATTCCTGTTGGTTACCCAGCTTCACAAAAGAGAAAGCTCATTTCTCCTCAAAACTCATTTTATGCTCTTTGAACATAAACCTTTAATATGCCATATCGAAATCAATCCTGATGCAGTAAAACTTTAGACGGATTTCGATAAAATATCGCTGTAACATATTCCATGAGTATTTCATCTTAATTATTTTCATAAATAGCTTGGGATTTATAAAACTTCTAATTTTGTGGCAGTGTATTATAGAGAAATGCAAACCTATGTAGCCAAAAAGTGGGATATTTTATGAAGTCCACTGCCTCAGGAATCGATAAGGGATAATACCCGGATGTGTATGAATGCCCGTCTGCCTGTGATGCAATTTACTTCCCACAATTGTCATAATCAGCTTGGACGAGGCTGCAGGAGTCCAAATTCACACCACACGGCCACCACCACCACCAAGGACCAACGTAAATACACAATGCGACATCAACTACGCTAATGAATTAATAATTGAACAGACTCAATTTCAATTCTGCTTTATCGAAACGTTCGTACACAAGCTGCTCCTCGTGGGGGGAGGGAGATAATAAAGGGCGGACGATGGAAATACGGGGTCCGGAGCAGTTCCAAAGAATTCCCCATTGTTCCAAACTTCAAAGGCCAAATATTGCCAGACACCATTGTCATGTGTGTTGGTATGTATAAGCACGTATTAAACGGGCACAACCCAGTATCCAGTAATTACTCTTAATCCACGCTATAAGCCATGCAAAAGTATGTACAAAACTCTCCATTTTTTGGGTAGCATTTAAACTTTTATCCTTATTGTGTGTCCACATGACACAATAAAACACTAAATATGTGCTTACATAACATTACAATTACAAAGTAATGCACAAGAATATTCGTTGTAATGCGGTATTCACGACTTGTGCACTTCTTAAAATATATGACTACCCTGGAATCACTTTCATTTCCGTAATGCAATTTATTCTACCCCATCGCATGTTGCTCCTCTTGTTGGTACGTCTTGTTCTCTTAAAACATTTATGAATTGACCCTCCATTACCTGCAGCTTTCCTCCCCCATTTGTGCGTACTTGTCATTCGTGATGTACAAGAAAAACTGATAAAAAGGTTAAGCAGACTAAAGGATGAATTCTTCCTCGTCAAATTTGTAGCAGCAATTCTTTCCTGGATTTAAGGAGTGAATAGCGAAGAAAGGTCATTCATCGCATCTGAATGGAGAAAGTTGGAGACTAGAATGGTCTTATTTGAGAAGCTGAATGGCTGCACAAAGTGAAAACGAAGATTTGGTGAGCAGGTGAAAGTAAAACGCCGAGTGTGAATGGAGCAGTTGAATTGAATGCGTTTAAAAGTTGAAGGAATAACCAGCCAAATAATGCACACACGTGGAACATGCATACACACACGGAATATAAGCCGTATTATTATTATTATCCTCCAAAATCCTGCCAGTGCTTTGTGCAAGAGACGAATTTTCTCCCAATCCCACTACCAAATCCGTCCATCACAATATGAAAAGAATTTTTGAAACGGTTTAAGCTGTGACAATGAGCTCAAGGAAAATCCATCATTTCGTTCCCCATCATGTTTCCAATTTATGGCAATCGGGATGGAACTTTTGGTGCACGAGTTACTGAAAACTGCGATGGATTTGAATAAACTACCAATCGTGACGCTACCTACGTGATGCTCTAGCTGAGCTGCAGGAGGATGGCCACATCTCAGAATTTGTCACGTTGGACATTTCCATATATATTTGCGTTCAATTGGTGCAAGTTTTCCCTCCCTTTCAGAAACACTACTGAATAAACCAGTAGTGGAAGCAGGGGTCTGGACAGGAGGATCATCGACGACGACGACGACTCACCCATGAAACGTAGTAAGCTTTTAGGATTTATTCAGTTGGGCTGCAATAATGTTGGGTGAAATCAACCAACATCCGGTCGCGGTGGTGGTGGTGGTTGGACAATGCGTTTGTTTACACCTTCTTCGCCTCACCAATGTGCAATGCAATATGTGTGTGGAGGCAAAGAGACAATATTTCAGAGACACATCCTCGTGGCTGTCATCGCATGATGCCTTATTATCACCGCTCCACTGGCTCCCAGCGACCACAAACAGGCTGCTGCACTCGACAAGCTACTCCAAATCCGGTATATGCAAGTGGTGAAATGGAGAGAGTGAAAGGCAGCTCGATGCTAAATTGGTGAATAATAATGCTCCTGCAGCAGCAGCAGCAGTTGGATTGCATGAGTGAGGAAGTGAACTGGAAAACATGAAAATTGCAGTGTACTTATATGTAGGACCACGTGCCCCTAATCGGGGTTTGACTTTATACACAAATTTCCTGCTGCAGCAGTGGATTCAATATCAAAACAAAAAGTGCAACAACAAACAAAAGTGAGAGGAATGATTTGGGAAAGAAAATTCATTTCAGTCAAGAACGCAACTTAAAAGTCGACTTTCTCTCTCGCTCCTCTCGACACGTAATCGAATCCAAGGAGCATCCCTCCTCCTCCTCCTCCTCTCCTTCTGAAAGCTTTGGTAATGATGGGGTGATCACTGCCAAGGACAACACAGACGGAGAAATGGGATACGACAGCGACAACACGAGGATCTCACTTTACTTACGCCTCCAATTTGTTTATACGCGTCTCTTTTCATGATCATGAAGGCAAATGGATACAAGGACGCATTGTTTGGTGTAAATGGGTAAAGGACTCGTTTCTGGTTTCTCGTTCCCAGTATTTTCTTACACTTTGATTAAATGAAATGACAACTATTATCAAGTTTGGAATTGTACCGTGGAAGGAAAAAGCGAGTAGATTAAAATCATCAGTGAGTCCCGAGAGAAGCACTTTAAGAACTGTTATTATTGAGATTCACCACTTCACCGGTACAGATTCGATATTGGGAGGGAAGAGAAAATCAATTTGCATTTTGTTTAAATCGCGCTTGTGACGTAGTATTACATAACAGTGCGTAATAATATTAAATAGAATTAGATCATCCATTTGCAGTCTTAATTCTCTTACCCTTTTTGTTCTCCCGTGACCATTGTTTCCTTCACCCTTGAACATGATTGTTGCAGCCGTGATATCACTCGTTGACCCCAAAATCTCCCCATAGTCGACTCCTCCAGACGTAGTTGTCTGAATTTCGTTCCCAGATCTCCAGTGACCCTGGTACTCAGGGGGGCACGTGTTCTTGTAAGAAATGGCGGATGAGCTACGAACCGACTTTTCAGTTGGCGCAGCCTTTGATTTTTTTGTGGAGGTCTGAATGACAACGAGTCTGTTCCCTTGACCGACTCCACCCACCTCCGGAATCTTATCCTTGATCGCGTGAGAGTTCAGTAATTCGGACTTGGTAAGACTTGCAGGGACTTTGGTGGCATGGGGTGCTGGGGGATTAGGAAAGGTGGTGTGCCTTCCTCTTATACTCGAGTTCTGTGCAACTGCACTTTTTTGACTCGATGTTGACCCTCCTTTGGAGGCGAACGAGTTTTTGAGCATTTTAGACATTGTGGCAATTTATTTGTTATTTGTGCGCCTTTGGTAATTATGGAAAGACAAAGTTATAGTTTGCCTAATTGTGTAAAGGCTGAGAACTTTTAATTTGTTAATGCATCGTGTTAGTAATTGTAGCGTAATGAAACAGATTAGTTCCTCCGAATTTCGTCCTTCCTTCCTTTGTCTCAATTAGTTGTAATTGGCTAATTCGTTTAGAAATATTGTCACCATTCCTCATCCTTTGCGACGATTAGGAAAAGTTTTAAAATTTCTGGGCTTATTTTATTTTGAGACTTGCATTACATCATTCATTTCCTCCTTCTTCTTCTGACGGGGGTAATTTCTTCATCAGTAGTTCTTCAAGTAGTTGCGTTGCCTTATTCTTGCACGTACCACTCGTAGCACTCACTCAGAGGCTCATTCCCCCTAATTAAAGAGTAATGGCAAGTGTATATTTTGCATTTTAAGTGTAGAAATTTGGACGCGAGAGAAGGGTTACTTGGCCGTTGATTCAATTATTAAATGCACCTCCTCAACTTCACCCCGTCCACACAGATCTGAAATTAATATTCGTTTCACATCTTGGTTCCCAGTTTCTTCCCACTTGAGCCAGCCTTCCATCCACCTTTGACTCGATAAGTTTGATGAGATGAAGATATGCGGGAGACTGAAAGTCCGAGTGCATGATTTGATGGTGGTCGAGTTAGCAGGTTAACATGCACCTCTCCACCATGTCATTGCCATCCACGCCACGTTCACGTAGTTTTCAAAGTTTACTTTATTTTGTGGGCACCGAATTCGGGTAAATTGTGAATTGAGACATGAGCGGGGTGGCTACTACCCCGTAATAACTCTTCCTCCCTTTCATTAAAGTTGGCCCCGAACGAAATCTGGACTTATGTATTCTTTCTTCTTACCCACATTCCTCACGGAGGGAACCGTTTCACCGGTGCATTTTGGGGTTATTACTTTTCCTCAGTCACGTTTTTGGTTGCATTATTACTTGTTTGGGTGAACCTGGTTCGTTTCTTGCATTTCATCCTCGTGGGTAGGACTGGAGTGCAATATTATTATTAATTTTGTGGTGAATATGAATGAGGTTGAGTCGCTTTGTAGAACAAGCAATTCTCGAACATGGCACTTATTCCTACTCCTCCATCGCTTTTGTGTGTGTGCCTTGTTTCTCCATTAATTCAGTAGTTGCACAGTTCTCAGTCGGTTGGTAGCAGCAGGGGTCAAATCACCACGATGCACAACATGCTACATACCTTGACTGCATTTCTGCAGACTTCAATCCGTGGTGATCATCATGCTGACAGTGGTTTATAATTTCTCCATTTCCATTTTATCATCACGTTTAGAATTCAATCATCCCAGCGGAATTAGTAATCTTTGCCTGTTTTCTTGCTTGATGGCGAGCTAATTAAGATTTTAAAATGCGGATGAGACTTTAAAAGTCTTCAAGTGCTTACATATTAATGAGTTGATTATGTAATTCCCAACGTGGTCGGTTTAAATTTTTAAAAATTTCAGTTTTTTTTTTGAGAATTTTGACTTGTAAGTCTGGCAATGCAAGGGTAATCCTTTGGTAATTTTTCATGTTCGTAACGGAAATGGCGGGGTGTAAAAGGATTAAGTAGTTGTGGAGATGGAGAGATCTCTTGCGTTTTGAAGCCCTTATTCCATTCCATCAATCCAGAGTTGCGTTGGTGTGGTCCCTCGACACTCACAACAACGACCATGCACTACTAATAATAGTAATCCTCATAACCCATAAATTGTGAGATTAGCATTTGAATTAATGGCAGTTTTCCCATGAAAGTGGAAGGTTGAGAAAATTGGTGTGAATTTGAAAATTCATCTTAAAATCACACTCTCACTTTAATTCAGGGATTGTTGTAGTTGAAATTGGGTGTTGCGCACTAAACACTGAATTTGACCCTTGATGGATTTCAAGAATTATGGGCACTTTTTTTATATTCGCAGTTTGATCACTTTAGTTTTTAAGCTTTATTATTCAACAATATGCAACTTGCATGAGACACATTTCATTAGTGAAACTATTGGTAGTGGTGTTATTATCATTATTTGTATAGCGAATGGTGGTGGTGCGGTTTGATTAAATATTGGTATGAATATTTAGAAATATATGTCACGGTACGAGTTCATACATAAGTCACGGTATAAAACTGAACGTGAAAGATGCTGGAATTCCATGGAAAAAAATGGGACATAAATAATCAGGGTTTTTCCTGTCAACTGAGCTCTTGTTAATGTCGCGAGATCCGAGACAAAAAAGTTTTCCATAATTGTACCCACATATAGAACGGACCACAACACAATCAAGTGACATTATTCACCCCACTTATTGTCAATTGTGTGGCTGAGCCGACATTGTGATGATTCCAAAACTAAACTAAAAATATGGTCGAAGTTCAAGGTAGCCGTGGTGGTTCAAAGATTCCTCGAGTAATAGATATGCATATACGTACGCAGGGCAGATGAATAGTTGATTGGGTAGGTAAATAATAAGATGATGATCCCCTATTCACGAGAAGACCACCGCGTTGAGAGAGGGAAAGAGAAGGACGTTCCCAGTCGGACAAAGTTATGCCGAGGACGGGCCTGTGAACATTGTCGTTATTATTGTTATAAATTACGACTGTCTCACAACAAAATTTTCATGTTTGAATTATGACTCGTCCCGATCTCGCATTAATGTGCAATCAAGTACACTGCGAAAGAAGAAGAATCTCATTCTGCAATATCACATTGCTCTCGAATTTAGCTCTAAATGGTTAAAAATATTAATGATTTCATTGTATTGTGCATGTCATAAAATTCAGGAGAGGATCATGTCGTTACAAACTCTAGGAAATGAAGGCAATCTTTCTTTTGTGGGGTCCATTGTTTATCGCACAGGCAACGTTATTATGAGCACATTGTAAAATTTAAGCAAACAAACCCCTCCGAGTAAAAGTAACCATTGCACCTCTGCACAGATACATAGACGACAAGGAAGGAAGAAGGACGAAAGTGAGTGAGTGACAAGGTTCTCAACTTTATGATCTCGCATCTGCAACAATGTATATTTCGACAGGTTGGGCGTTGTTACAAAATTTTCTGGTTTACTGTCTGAGCACAAACAGGTAGGAGGGTTCGGGCTGTCGGGTGCTGCACGGTAATAATGACCACCAGCCAATTCGAAGGATTGATTGATGTGGGTTAAGTGAAATATTGGTGACTGCATGACTTGCCTATGTAACAAATATGTAATCCTACTAAAACAGCCCAGGTACGTACCCTTTGTCCTGCCTTTGACGTATTTAGATAAAACAATGGCATTTTTCAATTAGCCGACTAACAAACAGACGCTATACTCATCCGACCGAAAGGTATGCATGCTCAAAAGCTGTGTACACTAAATATTTGCAGCAAGAGTTTCAAGTCAACTCTCATTTTACCAACGTCTGGAATTGATTTAAAGACAAATAATGACATAAATTTTAACGGAAAGTTTATGCTGATGAGTATTCAAGTATCATTTTATTTATACGTGGGCAAATTGATGGTGGAAATCTGATTGAATTTCCCAGCTGGTCTAACTCTCCTGCACCTCCTACACTTATCTGTATTTGTATACATTAAAATATGCATTTTATATCAAAACTGAGTTCGTTTTGATGAGTGTGTTCAAAACTACCTCAACCTCTTCGGTATGTGTACAACACTTTCTAAATTCTGGCTGCTGTGGATCCCACGTCTGTCACGGTTGTCACAATCAATCTCAATAAAACGACGGACTTGGAGGGTATGAAAATAATTTTCAAATTTTTCTCCCCACTTTTTCTTCCGTTCCGACAATAGGTATCAACTACCACATCTTTATATACATCCACCACAAAGAAATACCCACCAGAAATCCCCCTTTATCAAATTGTACATTCATAAAAGCTGGGAACTTATCGCAGTTTATTTTCATCCACTTTGGTAAATTTTTATCAAATGGTATGTACTAATATCTTGAGATTTTTACTCAAATCTGAGTTGTAATGGCGATTACATGACTGGTAAGAAAACCACCGAATTTATGAGACCCTTATAAATAAATCCTTAAAACACGGGTTTTGCGGCGAACGACAAAAGTACACACATACACACGACATGATGTATTATGTGTTTAGTGTCAATTTTTACAGACGGTGCACAATGCCCATTCGTCTTGCATTCCAATTGCGGGGTCGGAATGATTTGTGATAAGCTTCCAATCCAATAAACAGTAACAAACGCACTACTTCCTTTCCTGTCGGTGATATGCAATATTTGTATGTACATGGGGATCGTAAAACAGAAACAAATCTGATCTGGGACATTTCACACAAACACTAACAACACACACGCAGCATTCGCTATAACAATAATTTTGCACCTACTATAAAATCCACACCGAATTTTCTAAATCATTACGTACAAAAAATTCGTAATACTTGTTTTCCCACCACTTTTTTTATCGGGAGAAAGTTGTTTCGAAAGTTCCAGTTTGTACAAAAATCTAAATATCTACGATGCGAAATTTATACACTTTGATGACCCCACGACTTTCCTTTGCGAGGGAGGAATTTGACACAATGTGGATTTTGGAACGGCGTAGGAAGGTGTTTGCAATGATGTCGTCTCCTCCACCGTCTAGCAGACACTGACTCGAGTTTCTCATTCTCGAGACCTTACGCACAGCTTGGAAGGTTGCTTGCACTCCGGGCGTTGAATGAAGTGCATGTCGCAGAGTGAGTGGTGCGTACTCTGCTCCTTGCATTAAAACCTACCGGCTTTCTTTACGTACGTGCATTGTGAGTGAGTACCCAGAGCTCGTTACTTTACTTTCTTCGATACTGCAATGCAGGCAACTGCAGCTGGAATAGTTACGCAAATTATTTACGATATGTTTATTCGCGACCTTGCAAAGGTTACTGGAAAATTGGTCTGTTTGCTAAATATTTTAACCAAATATCATGTTATCCAGCCCTTCAGGGAAAGTGTGGAGAAAGAGAATCAAGAGTTACACGACTATAAAATGCACCCTCATTAAAATATTATCACGAATCATCAAAATTGTGCATCTTGAGATTAGGATGACATCAATCAGTTTCCAACTTGTCATTCCGCATACATTTTGAGGAGAAGATAATCGATTCCGTCATCATTACTCATCATCCTCTAGAATTTGGTTTGCAACACTTTGCCTCATTCATGCCACGTTTCGCTGTATCAAACGAACGAGGCAAGGGACACGAGAGACGAGGAGGAGGAAGAGAAACAAGGGTGCATAATGCAGAGAGAAAGCATAAATGAAAACATGATTTTCGTCGAGAGGGACAAGGACGTCGGCAGTGGGACTTTGATTCACACTATTTTTGGACATTCTTCAAATTGCATTATTTCATGCTTCGTCACGTACAGTTGGAATAACACGACGAGTCATGAGCTAAAAGAATTTTAGACTATTTGATTTTTTTAGTGCGATCGATCTATGAAAATTTTGACCTCTGGTATATTAAAATAATGAGTTAAAAGGTCATATTTCATGAGTTTAATTTATATCCTTTAAAATATATTATTTTCTTATAAATTTCAAAACCCGAGTTACGAAACATGTTGAATTTGACATTTAAAAATAATTTCTTATGTATTCCTATTTTTAAACTCCAATTTAGAAAATATTCGATTTTTTATAATAACCAAGTTTTCCGTCGATCGATCGATCTGTTAATAATAGGTTAAAAGTAGCATGTACAAAACACCAAAAATCTCCAAAATCAAGTGGAAGCATGCATTTCACCATTTTACGTGAAACGCCCAGACATGTGTTGTGTCGGGATATGTATTTCGACGGAATTTTTAATGACGGACGAAAATTGACAATGAAAACCATGGACCGAAGAGATAAGAAAACGTCAAGGACTATCCAAATGATGCCGTAGGTCAAGGTTATAAAAGCTTCACACCAGTTATTACTAAGCGGATGGAGAATATTAGATTTTCACTAATTTGATACAATAAATAGAAACCATTTATATAAACGAATGTGTGTCTCTCACTTGAGATGATTCAAACCAAGTATTGATTTATTAAAATGATTTTACAACATTGAAATAATTAGAAGAACTTTTAGTTCCATAAGAATAATAAATTTGTCGTCAATATGAATTGAATGAAACAATAATACAATCTCCCAATAAATCTCGTAAAATAAATTAGTGTCAAGTAAAATTAAGATTAGAATAATTGAAGAAATTAATCAATCAAATCATTGAAACATGTAAATTACAACTTCTCCAAGTTCTCCGCACTAAATGGGTCGCTCTCCAAAACTTGGTCCGGTCTATGGTCAGACTGTTCCTCAATTTTGGTCAAAGCGTTATTTATTCCTTTGGGTAAGAAAGGCCTGAACTGGGCCGCAATTTGATTTATGTAAGTAATGAAGGCGGAATTGTCCGACACGAACTGCTTGATTGCCTCGCTCAACATGAAGGTCTCCAGGTGACGGTTGTCCTCTTCGGAAAAGTCGTCAAAATAAAAGCTAGTCGGACAAATCACTCCCCACATGGCGCAATTGTTCTCGTCTCGCACGTAGCTCACTTCCGTGGGCTTCTTGTTGAACTGGTACTTTCTGAAGGAATACAGTACCGTTCCCTTTCCGCCATCTTCCCGGCTCGTCTTGGCAAATCCAACGACTCCAAACATAAGGTCGCCATCTTCCCGAATGTGAACGGTCTGGAATATCTTTTTGTAAAGGTTGGCCGAAGCAACCAGGGTTTTCTGTTCCTCTGCCGAGTCAGATGAAATGACGGAACGTTCGTGCCAATTGTCCACTATCTGCTTCAATTGGTCGGGGGTTGCGTCGCTAATTGCTCCGCTGATGCCGCCATCTGCAGAGTCGGACGATTTGAGAGTTGCGAACAAGTTGGAGCCAGCCGTGACGGCGTCTTGGTCGGATGGCGTCTGGTACTTGGTGAAAGTCTGGATGAACGTACTTGTAATCCACTTTTGAACGGCGACGTTTTGGTAGTTGACTGCATTGTGTCCTTGTGGGGCGGCCCGTCCTCTTGGGAGTAGGATTAGGAGGGAGGACAGAAGTAATGCAGAAAAAGTTAGTGATTTAGCCATTTCTGAAAATTTAAGGAAAGAGTTTTGAAAAATTAAAATCTTGGCATAGAAATTCATGCGTTGGTAAAAATTTAACTGCTAAATATTATTGATTGATATTTGTATAACTATGAATTTTGGTAGACATACCTCTTTATTAGTGGGTGGTGAAATGAAGAAAGCTGTGTTGTGCAGAAGGACTCCAAAGTATTTGAGAAGATTTTCTCTGCGACTGGACAACTGAGAGGTTCAAGCAGGACTGAAGGGATCGAGGGTTTCAAACGAATTATTTAGTTAATTCCAGTGACCTGGACTTTTGTAGCTTTTTACAAAAATAAAGAAGGACCGGACTGCCCCAAGGGTTTGATTATCCTTGAACTTGCCCTATTATCCTTGTTCAGGTAACTGAAGTTGACCTATGACTGGTAACCCCAGTTATATAGTGATGGTTAGTAAGGCAAATTTTATCTAAATACATTGGAAAATACGTCATTCCCATTTGGGTCATTCCAAGAATGGGATCATTTTTCTCATTTGCTTAATATATTTAATATCATTTATGATTATCATGCATTTGTTTGTGCTAAGCATTAACCAAATATCAGAAATTAACCACTCATCCTTAGTTTACAGTCAACCGTGCACGCACTACATGCCCAAACCACAAAAGATTTCTTGTACCATTCCCGAGACGGATTAGACACGAACAAATGACTGGTGGATGTCCATTACATCTCGGTTTTATAACTCTCGAGGGAGCGTTCTTCGCAGTCGCTTGGTTTATGGTCTGTCTACCTGCCTTCCCGAAGGTTCTGCCATTTAACTCATTTCTTAAAAGCAATAATGCCCACCAAGTACATGGATATTTTTGCTCAACTCGTACAAAAATAGGTAGATGATTATCGTCAGATGCAACCCATCAGCACAAACATTGTTATTCCATATTAAAAATTATTTTATTCCGTAAGAACCAGCGAAACTGCAGTCGTCGTCGTGGACTCACTCAGTCACTGCGAAGCTTCCACTTGTCACCAGTGATTAACTCGGTCTCTTAAAATTCTATGACGCTGCAAATGTCTCCCGAAAGACTTGTTTTACGACGAACTAGCATTTTACGGAGTAATTAAATGTGAAGCTCCATTAATCAGAGAGATGGAGAGCAATAGGATAATGCAGTGGGGATGTAATGACTTCTTGCAATAAGAAACTTGCAATTCATTCACCTCCGTGAATAAAATGGAGGGAGACAGCAGCAGAAGAAGAAGAATACGTTTATTTATACCCCCACACTCGCAAAGTGCAATAAATTTTTATCGACTTTTACAAACTTTTAAAGAAAATATTCGCTTAAGTCTTGTAAAAGGACGGCACAAAATATTCGAAAAAGTATGATTTTTTGGGGGGGTGGAAGCCCAGTAAAGATACATATGTCATCTTCATAACGGGTACGAAAGACAAGTCACGTCATACGTACAGGAATGCATACACACTTGTAAGAATAATAATACATATGACCATTTGTCAAGATATTATTAAAGGAAGTACAAAAAATGAAATGGAAAACATGTAATATTTCGAAGTACATACATAAGTACGTTCGTATACCTAAGTTGTGTTTCTGAGATTGAAAACCCATGGAAAATTCCTGCACATTGGTGAACTAAACGGGAGGTTTCTAGTAGGAGAGAAGGAGGGAGAGAGAGAGAGCATCTCAATTTGGGGGAACAAATTAAGTGTGATTTGTACAGGGTACGGGGTGCCTCTGGGGCAAATGAAATTGAAAATTACCTCATTTTCCCTCTGCAAGGATGAAAAGTAGTCGCGAGGGTTAGACCACTTTCGCAAGAATTGCCTCACATTCGGAGAAGGAATAAGATCAAGATTTATACAAAATAAGTTTGTGTAGCCATAAATATTCTGGAAGAAATAGGAGAGATCACTCCATCTTGACGAGGCAATAATACGGCGAGCCTTAACAGGAGCAAATTATCTGGTAGCGTTCATTACATCAAGTATTCTTTCCCAGAGAAAGAGAGCAGCTACACTCGGCTTACCCTTGATCTATACGAATTAAGAAAAGGGATTCATTTCCCGAGGCGTTAATCTCATCTTTTCCCATTTATTCTGAAAGAAAGTGGAAAAGGCGCATCTGCTTTATCCATAATTCACAAACGAACCAAGACGATTTCAAAGAAAAAGAGTGTGCACTCACTCCTTTTAATTTGAACACTGATTCGAAGCAGCAGCTCAAATAGATTCTTCTTGCTTTCACTACATCCATACGTAAAAGAAAAGTGTAGGTATATATAAATACTCGCATTTTCTCAACTTTTCATTTTAAAATCATTTAGGAAATAGGCTTTTGTATTGTTCTTGAGAGACGAAGAGGGGCAAATCCATCTGACAAACACGTTCCTTCGTTCAGCACCATGTTTCCATGAGAGTATCGCCGTAGTGATGCTCGGAACTAATTAATTGATATCTTATTACAATGAAGACGAGACCACCCAGCCACGCACCTCTCGAGGCAGACTTACAACCGAGCAAATTAGTCGGAGAAAGTGGAAGATCAACTCGTTCAGAGGAAAATTTCTGGCGAAGAAAAGAGGGGAGAAAGGAAATGGAGAACTTCTTTCGCCTTTTCTCAGGGTTAATAAGGAGCCAAGATGTGATGGGTGGGTGGGGGAGAAGGCGACGGTGATGCCTAATGCCAAGTATGGATTGCATTGTATTAGAAGTTATGGCATCACTGACATCATCACTTTTCATTAGAAGGAATAAAATAAGATTTTTTGAATCTGAAGGAATTGCAGTTTTGCTGTAGAAAGACTGAAGAAAGTCAAAAGTTGATTGCGAAGTGTGTGAGAAAAAAGTAAATTGAGACGAAGCCGTGTCAATAATATTTGTCTAGTAAAAGTGTGTATGTGTGTGTGTACGGGTGTTGAACTAATAAGAAATTATTATGCCATTTATTTCACCAAGTTCAGATGGGAATACGACGTGTTTACTCCGTTTTATAAAAGAGAACAGTAGATTTTAGCAGAATATCTAATTCAACACTAGTTATTTCCATTAAATAAGTAAATATTTCCCATTTATACACAAGTCCTTAAGCCAAAATCACGTCTGAAATAATTACCCTTACCTTTTCCGCCTGTGTTTCTTCCAACTGGAGAAATTCTCCAATGTTCACTTGAGACTTGCCTGGCTCAGATTCTGGCATCGTAACGGTATCAAATGACATACAACAATCACGGTCACTGTATCTTGTCTCGTGGTAATGACCATCGTTACCAGGAAGCTTATTAACACCAGCATTGCTCACGATGCCGAAATCCCGTTGTTTTCCTCGCCTGGGAGACGAGTGACACTTGGAGCCATGCAAATCTGACATTATGAGGAGAGAATTATTAATCTGGGGATTTGCGTGGGTGTCCGCATTGTGAAACGGACTGGTGGTGAAAGCAGACTCGGGTTCATCCCAAGATCCACATGCACATCCATCGCGGAAGTAATTTAAGCCTGTGTGTGGCGGATCTGTTTGCTCATTAGCGGATATTGAGCAGGAATGAGGAGCAGTGTGAGGAGCGAGATCATGGAGGAAATCATCGCCCAAAATTGAATTAGCATCCACCCCGAATTTTGCATTGGCGTCACCAACTCCTCCATAAACTGAATCATCATCTGTCGCTTTCAAATTGTCCTTTTTGCCCAGACTCGACTCCTCAATATTGTCGGGATTGACGTCTGGAGAAGAATTTGTGATGACTTTTTCATCCACATTTGAAATTGCGTAGAAGCCTGGAGCCGTCATTCTCCTAACGTTTTCATTAAATTGAAGTGGAACAGGCTGCTTGGGCTGGATGTGGTTTTTTTTAATATGCACCTTCACGGGTGGAATTGGTTGAAAAAGCTTTTTCTGAATGGGGCCAACAACTCCAATTTCTTTGGGTCGGCTCAATTTCTTCCTGTGGGAATAAGCCACCCAAGGTTTTGAAGGTGGTGGTGGTGGAATATTTCCTGTGGAAGAACACCAATTTTTAAATCCAGAGAGAGACGAATCTGCCTTTTTCTTCTCTAAAGTTTCGTCAAGGGTTGGAGAAGAAGTGGCGTTGCCCATATTTCTCTTCGCACCGTGCAACTTTTCCGGTCGGATTTCAGCCACGACGGAAGAGAAATGAGCGTCGAAACCCTCATTTTTCGGTGATGTGCTGTCAAAATTGTTTGGTTTGGGGTGTTGCTGCTGAGATCTGTTAACCCCGGAAGAAGAAGAAGTATAGCTGTTGAGGTGTTGCTGTTGATGTTTTTGTTTGTTGGTGGAGGAGGAAGGAGAAGTAGTTTTGGGCTTGTTTTGTGAGGAGACTTGAATGTCATGGTCTCCGTTGATTGTTATTTTTGAAGGTCTCCGTTTCACAGTTCCGGTCTTTCCGGACGGACCATCCCATAAATCGCTGGGTGTTGGGTCGTCTGGTAGTGTAATTAATTTTCTCTCAAGACTTGAACTCTCCGTAATAATTTCCGCTTCTTGGACACTTTTGGTCTGGCAGGGTTGTAAAGCATTGGGCTCGGAAGACTCATTGGGTTGGTGGTTCCGTTCCTCGCAAAATGACCCACGGTGGCAATTATGGGCTTCATCCGGGACTACGTAAATCCTGTTATTGCGTGGACGACTTAGCAAAGGTCTCCTCTTGGAGGAGGAGAAGGTGGAAGTGCCGCTATTAGCAGTGCTGCTCTTGGGTTTCGGCACCGATAAATTCGTGGGGCCAATTACTATCAATGGACGAACTACGACTTGCAGTTGGGAGAGCTGGCTGCTTCCTTTCCCCGTTGGAATTGAAGAGGTTTTGGAACGCGTTCTACTACTTTCTTGAGACATTTTCATTATCTTCGCATCACACTTGAAGGAAAACCACCTTAAATGTTTGTCTTGTTTATTGTTACAAACCTTGCAGGTATCAAGTAACTGCTTTTTGCTTATGTTTGTCAAACATGATAAGTGAGTAGCTCAATTATACAAGTTCAACAAGTCTGGTTTGATTCCGTATTTGAATAAAAGTTCGAGTAGTAGCCACATAACTCATCAGATTTCTAGATTAAGATTATTTCTAGGCACCTGACCGAGCTGGGTTTTTAATCTACCAACAATATCATACATATGTATCAGCTCGCACATAAATCCTGACGCTGGAATGCACTTAGGAAGAAGTCGGGTACATACCATACATAAGCACTAATGCACTCTTAAGTAGAATCTCACCAAGAAATACTTTCTCCGCTCTCCGCAGATAATTTACCAACCCAACTTTCACCACTTTCTTGGAAGATCACACGAACAAAAGAAGCTCGCTC